GGGTTCTTGCAGGTCTGAGGGAAAGAAATCCACTAGAGACTGGAGACAAGGGTTAAATCCAAACTGCTGTAATGGTGAGTGAGAACAGAAGGTGTGTAGGGATTTACTTTGAAAGGAACAGGAAGCTGGTTGAAATCCAGGTAAGTTTTAGCTGCAGGTTCGAGCAGGTGGAGAAGCTGAGGGAGGTTTGATGTGTCAACCAAAGTTTACCAGCAAAATGCACAAAGACCAAACAACAATACAGGACAATAACATCAGTTTGTATTAAATGCAGTTAAAGCTTAGTGTTGATGTATTGCTGTATCACAAGTGCAGGGACTGGTGAACACATTTACTTTATGTCTGTTATATTGATTAGCCTTATCAGTTCACATTTCCTTGTATTTATTTTGTGTATATTATTTATATAAATGTACTAATTTTGCTCCACTTGTACAATGACAGTAAAGATATTCATTCTTGTATGTGTGGGTCTTAAACAGCACAGCGAGGTCTGTGTATATTTTGGACATATTGGACATGGACTTAATGTAAGTAAGTCCACTTCTCTAACTACTCCTTGACGGTCACCTCAGCAGCTCACCTTCCTGCTCCGACCGCTCCTTCCTTTGTGGTAACACGGATCAGTGGACCTCCCTGACTTCCTCTCCAGATTTTCCTCTGAAAGGCAGAAAGTAGGCACCCTGGCTCAAGCCTTTCTGTCAGGGCTCTGTGTGCAGGCGGATGGAGAGGAGGATCCAAATGCGAGACTCTGAGACCGAACTGAAACTGAGAACCTTAGCTTTATTGCTGGTGATAAATGAAAACATGAACTGAACAATGACACTGAGAACTGACCACACAGGCATAATTCTGCGGGTACGACACGACACTGAGCACAGGACAACACAGGGCTAATATACACAGGGTGGTGATCAGGGAATGGGCAACAGGAGGGAGACAAAGCTGGGAGAAATTGGACTAACGAGACAGGGGGAGCAAAGCTGCACACACTAACATAAGACAGACTTTCACAATAAAACAGGAAATAAGACACAAGGACGCAGACTAAGAAACACAGACTTAACACGGGCAGAACTAAAAATAAACCAGAATAAGCTGGAACATAGAACATC